CAGTGTGATGGGGGCCACCTACAAGTTATAAACAGCCAGAGGACACAGGTGGTAACCACAAGGGTGGGTAGGAAAGTAATGACCTGAATAGGGTGGGGAGTCAGGAGAGGGCAGTGTCAAAAGCTTAGGGCTTATAGCCAGGCCATCTGGGCCCAGTCCTGGCTCTGTTACTTTCCAGTTATGTGACCTTAGGCAACCTCTCACTGCCTGCTTATTCACTGGGCCATTGTGAGCATTCAATGAAATGATGCATTCAAATGCCTAGCAAAGTGCTAGACACACAGAAAGCAAACAATGCACAGCAGCTCTCATGATCATCCTTATTTGAGAAAAGAGGCCATCTTTAATGACCCTGGAACACCTCTGCTAGTGGAACCAGTGGGCTGCACTAGGCTATCCTCACCATAGTACCATGAATGCTATCTCTCAATTGACTAGCCTCACGTGTGGTAGGAATGGACTTGAGAGCTGTGCACAGCAACGTGCCCTCCATTTGTAGACCTGAGATGGGGATTTGCCAGTAACCAAGTAGAAAGACACTGCAGTACAAAAGTATGAAAAAAGAAAGAAATAGAATTCAATTATATGGCATAAGGTGAAACATATGTGAAAGTGGTATATTCCCCTACTAAAAGGCAAGGTTTCTCATGCAGGGTCCAACTAAATGCTGTTTTTATGAATAATGACTAAATCAAGGCAACTTAAAATATTAAAATCTCGGCTGGGTGCCATGGCTCACGCCTGTAATCCCAGCACTTTGGGAAGCTGAGGCAGGTGGATCACCTGAGGTCAGAAGTTCAAGATCAGCCTGGCCTGGCCAACATGGTGAAACCCCGTCTCTACCAAAAATATAAAACTTAGCAGGGCGTGGCAGCAGGCACCTATAATCCCAGCTACTCAGATGGCTGAGGCAGGAGAATTGCTTGAACCTGGGAGGCGGAAGTTGCAGTGAGCCAAGACAGCACTGCACTCCAGCCTGGGCAATAAGAATGAAATTGCAACTCAAAAAAATAAAATATTAAAATCTAAACTATAGTCAAAGATTTATAAAATAAACACAAATGAATCAAAACCACAATAAAATATCATCTTGGCCCAGCCACAATGGTTATTATTAAAATGACAAAAAGTAACATGCTGGCGAGGATGTGGAGAAAAGGGAACTACACACTGCTGGTGGGCATGCATGTTAGTACAGCCACTATGGAAAACAGTATAGAGACTGCTCAAAAAACTAAAAATAGAACTACCACACAATTCAGCAATCCCACTTCTGGGTATTTATCCAAAGGAAAAGAAATCAGTATGTCAAAGGGATACCTGCACCTGCATGTTTATTGCAGCAGTATTCACCTTAGCCAAGATATGGAATCCACCTAAGTGTTTATCAGCAGATGGATGAAGAAAATGTGATACACACACACACACACACACACACACACACACACCCCTACATATACACACACACACAATGCTATATAATTTGGCCATAAAAAGAATGAAGTCCTGTCATTTGCAGCAACATGGATGCAGCTGGAGGTCATTATGTTAACTGAAATAAGCAAGGCACAGAAAGACAACTATCACATGTTCTCACTCAATAATATTCCTGGATAGACCAAGTTGTCAAAATTTCATAATTTGAACATTACAATGCAATTATAAGATTAATTTGAGACATTACACCTTCTTTTCAAACATGCACCATGAAACATTATAAAAACCGATCTTATATTAAGCCACAAAACAAATCTCAAAAATTAGAGACGACTATGTTTTTAAAAACCTAAGCCATTCATAAAAGTATTATTTATAATAGTCAAAGAATGGACACAATTCAAATGCTCATCAAATAAATGGATATTGGGAGGCCAAGGCAAGCAGATTGCTTGAGCTCAGGGGTTTGAGACAAGCCTGGGCAACATGGTGAAACCTCATCTCTACAAAAAATACAAAAAAAAAGCTGGACATGTTGGTGTACACCTGTAATCCCAGCTACTTGGGGGACTGAGGCTGGAGGATCGCTTGAACCTAGGAGTTCAAGGTTGTAGTGAGCCAAGATCATGTTACTGCACCCCAGCCTAGGCAAAAGAGCCAGACCCTGTCTAAAAAACAGATGGATAAATAAAATGTGGTGCATCTGTGCAATGGAATATTATTTGGCAATAAGAAGGAATGAAGTACTGATCATGCTCTAAAATGGATGAACCTTGAAAACATGATGCTATGAGAAACAAGCCAGTCATAAAGACACCATATTGTATGATTCCATTTAGATGAAATTTCTAGAATAGGAAAACCTGTGAAGACATAAAGTAGATTAATAGTTGCCTAAGGCTGACTTTATCACTTCATAAAGAAGGCCCACACCCATTAGCAGTAGGATGAGGAAATGATAATGACTGCTAGTGGGCATGGGGCTTCTTTATGGAGTGATAAAAAATGCTTTAAAAGTGATTGTGGAGATGGTTTGCACAACTGTGAATATTACTAAAAACCAGTGAACTGTACACTTTAAATGGATTATGTATTTCTATAAACTGTTTTAAAAATAAAAACAAAAGCCTAAGCCCTTGAAAATTAAAAAATGACTCTCTTAAATATTTGCATAAAAGAAAAATTAAAACTATAGAGTATCTAAAGAATATCACTGAAACCATTACACACCAAAACATGTAGGATGCAACAAAAGTAGCAATTAGAGGAAAATTTATAGCCTTAACTGTTTTCTATATGAAAGTAAAAATTAACATATACACAAATGAACCAATAATTCAACTCTAGTAGTTAACAGAAATGGCAAAACAACTTAAACAACTTAAGGAAAATAGGAGAGATGAACTGTAAAAGACAAACATGGAAGGTCCACATTTCATCACGTTTAAGATGTCACCTATTCAAGTGTGTCTTTTTTTTAATGTATCACTAAGAAAAACTGCTGTCAATTAAACAATGTCACAATGCTTTATTATTAGTTGCAAGATGTATTCCAATTTCAGAACTGTTAAAATGTGAAAAGAAAATGCACATCCTTGATTGATAAAATATAGTAAACTAAAAAGCAAAAAGACAGTGTGACTGAAAACAAATCCAAAATTTAATCTTTGGAAAGACCAACAGACAAATCTCTGGCAAGGAGGTAAGTTTTAAAAAAGAAAGAAAACAAAAAATACAAACTATTAGAAACACTAAAGCAAATATAGCGACATATGTATATATGGCTATATTTATATATAAATATATATTTATATACTTGCATAGCAAGTATATATATGGCTATATTTGCTTTAGTATTTAGTGTGTGTATATATATACACAGATATGTTCAAATTTATAAGAGAATACTGTATCATAAAAAATTAAGGAAAAAACTATATTAATGATATTGAAAATTTGGATCAAATGGACAATTTTCTACTAAAGAACAAATTTTCCAAGTTGGCTTTAAAAGAATTAGAAATTCTAATTAATTTTTAATTAAAAGAATTAGAAACTCTAAATAAACAATGTTAATGAAAGAAAATTTTAAAGTTGTCAAAAATGTAACTCTAAAAAATTACACGAGATCACCTGCAAATATCCGGAGTCACTTCTATATAATCTTGATTTCTCTTGTTATTAAAATTATTTTAGACCATAAACGATCAAAAGATCTTTTTCATAAAATTAGCATAATCCTGACATCCAAACTACAAGAAGTATTTTTCACCTATCAAATTGGCAAAGACAAAAAAGAAAGAAAGAAAAAGAAAAAAAAAAAGAAACATAAACATGAAAAAGCATAGTATTCGTAATGTGGGAGAAACAGGCAATTTCATCCCCTTCTGATGAAAATACAAATTGACACAACTTCTCTGGAATACATTTTGGAAATACACATGAAAAGGCACACGTTTTTGCATACATTTTGAAGCCACGCACAGTTCTAGGAATTTATCACAAGGCAATAATCATAACTACATGTAGAAAGTTTTTGTAATAAGGATATTCACTGAGACATTTTAATAGCAAAAATGTAGAAACGGCTTAAATCAGGGGTTCCCAACTCCCTGTTAGGAACTGGGCCACACAGAAAGAGGTGAGCGACAGGTTAGCAAGCATTACTGCCTGAGCTCCACCCCATCACATCAGTGGCAGCATTAGATTCTCATAGAAGCGCGAACCCTACTGGGAACTGCACATGTGATGGATCTAGGTTGTGTGTGTCTTATCAGAATAATTATCTGGAACAGTTTCATCCTGAAACCATTCTCCCCAAACCACCCTCCATCCTCGGAAAAACTGTCTTCCAGGAAACTGGTCCCTGGTGCCAAAAAGGTTGAGGACTGCTGCCTTAAAGGGTCAATATTGGAGAGCAGATTCCAGTTTGACAAATCCATCTGATGGGACTGAGTCATAGTATCAGAAAGTAAGTAACATTTTTAAGATAAAGACAACATTTTTAGGATAGAGGAAACATATATATTTTAGATATGCCCAAATGAATAACATATGAAGCAAATATCTTTAGGTGAGATAACAAATGATATTAACTTTTTTCTCTTCCTAATTCCTTGCAATTAACATGCATTATTTTCTAACCAGAAAAATTAATAAGCATTACTATAATTTTATTTGTCCAAATATGAAATATACTAATAATGCCCAGTGAACCAGAACAGAGGGTTTGTGCCTGACGTCCCCTAGTTCAGGAGAATGTGGAGGAAACAGTAAGAGTCTTATCACTGTCACTGTGACCCATATGGGCTGCAGCCTGGGGAAGCTGGGGGCTCACAGGTCTTTTATTTAAAAAGCAGAACATCCCTTGTGTATCACCCTCATCCAGGTTTCCATCCTTGGGAAGTATCAACAGCTTGTTCCAACCCAAGGACCCAACCAATTGCCTCTTTATCTATGGCCCCTGTCGCTTCCTGGAAATTTCTCAAGTAGAAACTGTAAAAACATCTTATTTGGCACAGAGCAGTTTTCTTAAAAAATAATAAGCCAATTCAAACTCCTACCTAGATAGGGAATACTTGGAACCATCTTCAGGCTTCGGATATATTCTCGTGTCCGCTTGTAATTATCTTCTTTCGACATCAGGTAGTCCAATTTCTCAAAGGTAGTCTTGTCTTTTCGATTCAAAAGCTAGAATGAAAGAAAATACAGGAAAATAAATAAACCAGAAGAAGCTAAACAGAGTGGATAACTGGAAAACTAAAAGGAAGCATCCTAAGTGGCACATCTATGGTGTGCCAAATCCTGGGCAGAACTAAGGATTTTAAAAGGCTGTTTCATACACATGAGGTAGGAGGCAGGACTCAACTCCAGAGGTGGAGCTTGGATACTGGACCAATTTGAGGACTAGCTAAAGCAGGGATGAGGCAGAAGCAGCATTCTATAAGACACGCCCACCAGTGTGCCATGTCAGTCTGCCGTTGCCATAGCAACACCTGGGTATTACCACCCCTTTCCATGACAATGATCCTTTTTCCAGAAATTTCTGCATAATCTGTACCTTTATTTGCATGTAATTAAAAACACATATAAATATGAACGGCCTCTGAGCTGCTCTGGGCACAATGCCTATGGGATAAGCCCCACGCTGTAAGGAGCAAAATCTCTGCTGCTGCTGCTGCTGTTGTACACTGCCACTTCAATAAAAGCTGTTGTCTAACCCAACCAGCTCGCCCTTGAATCTTCTTCTGGGCAAAGCCAAGTACCCTCCAGGGCTAAGCACCAATTTTAGGGTTTGCCTGCCCTGCATCACAGAGGTGCAAAGGTTGAATCTTATCATTTTCACAGAATTTCACACTTGGAAATTAACCACCAAAACTACCTAGCCCACTGTTCTATATGATATCAGAATCCCCCACATGACAGCAACCTTGTGGGTGCAGAGAGCCTACAACACCAAGGTACTGAGGTAGAAAAGCAAACTGCTCAGGGTCACCTGAAGAGTTATTTCACAGCTACACCAGGTCTCTTTTACTGCATCCACAGCTGTTTGCTCTTTCCTCACCATCTCCATGGCTAAAAACCCCAGTAAGTTCCACACAATTCACATGTTCACGTCGTACACATAGCCAAGCCATCACTCAAATCCAGGCTATATCCTCCACATCCCCCATAGCCCAACTGTGTCATATTTACACTGGGTGTGGTAATTTTAATCAAAAAAAGACAATCTTCTTTTCCATATGCAGTCATCGAAGGGGCAACTTAGTTAAGCTAACACAGGATGAGCAGATATCCAGAGTCAGAGGTTAGAGAAGCAAGATCCACTGTGACTGCAATCTCTGGTATGTAAAGCTGGTCACCAGTGGCTCAGTGTGCATTTGGACCCTTCTCAAAAGAAAGTAACAGAAATCAGAACTCCTGGTTTTCAAGACTTTATGCTAAGGACTCAGGCTGTGGTCAGCCTGAAAGTCCCACGTCAAGGCCCAGTGCCAGAAAATGGCAACAGGGCTGACTAAACACAACAGCTTTAAGGAAAGAAATCTAGGCAGAAAGATCAGGCTTAAAAGGAGGAGTTGGGAGAAGGGTGGCTGAGGCACAGCATGAGGCTGATGTTGGCAGCACCCCTGGGTCTAGCTGCCAGGGCCCAGTGCTTCAGGGATTGGAGGTCAATGGCTAAGCCCAAGAAGGGGAATAAACAGAAGCTCCAGGGTTGGAGTGCCCTTGGCCAAGGTGTTCAGACCTCGATGGTCTGTACAAGGACATGGAACGAGAGACCTACCATGTCCCTCAGACTGATGTAGGCCAGTGTTCAAAAGCCCCATCATGCAATGGAAGGAGTGGGACAATGACTGCCCAGCACCTGGGTAAGCCTCTCCTTACCGAAGTTCGTAAGCTTCAAAGTGCAGTTCCTGAGACCTGGGTCTGCAAATCCCAAACTCAGGCCATGTCTGATGCATTAGAGAGCCCTAGGCTGCTTTGGGCTGGCCCTATCTGGTTCCTTCATCTTCAGCCTCTGGGGCCACAGAGGATGCAGCCATGAGACAGCCCACTTCACAGAAGCAGTCATAGCTCACGAACTTCAGTAAAGAGAGAGAAGAATACACCGAAAGGAAGGTTCTCGTGCTGAAGAAGTTGAAGAATAATAGTGAACTTTTCTTACTGGGCAATTCAGGACATATCAGTGTGGGGATGCCACACAGATGATCAGGACAATGGCTGCTTAACTGTTTGCTAAAATGGACAAGGGAAAACACCCATCTGCCACTTGCTGTTTGTAAAACACTGTTAATATATGACTCATCTAATCTTCACAAAGCCCAATGGCAAAAATGGAGCAAGGACTTTTACTTCCATTTCCAGTTCATAATCACAATATTAAGTAACTTTTCAAAATGTCTTTGGGGAACTTGACTGAACAGAGGAGAGACAGATAGTATAGCAATGTGGTAAGTAAACAGAGACTGATAACCCAGACAAATAATAAAAAAGCTCTGAGGCAGGAAGGCTGCTTAAGCCCAGGAGATTGAGGCTACAGTGAGTCTTGATTGTACCACTGTACTCCAGCCTGGGTGACAGAGTGAGACCCTGTTACTAAAAGAATAATAATTATTATTATAAATGAATTGTGGGAAAAGGAAGTATCAAGGAAAGCTATATAAAGAAGCAGTATTTGAAATGAACACTTACGGATGGGAAATTTGCCAAATGAACAATATATACTCGGACCAGAACCAGATACCTACTTGAAAACAGCTCCATTGTAATTTGTTTTTTGTGGAGACGGAGTCGCACTCTATTGACTAGGCTGGAGTGGAGTGGTGCAATCTCAGCTCACTGCAACCCTGACTCCTGGGTTCAAGCGATTATCCTGTCTCAGCCTCCCAAGTAGCTAGGATTATAGGCATGTGCCCCACCACACCCAGCTAATTTGTGTGTGTGTGTGTGTGTGTGTGTGTGTGTGTGTGTGTGGTTTTTGTTTTTTTGTTTTTTTTTTTGAGATGGAGTCTCGCTCTGTCGCCAGCCTAGAGTGCAGCGGTGCCATCTCAGCTCACTGCAACCTCCAACTCCCTGGTTCAAGCGATTCTTCTGCCTCAGCCTCCTGAGTAGCTGGGATTACAGGCACACACCACTACGCCCAGCTAATTTTTTTTCATTTGTATTTTTAGTAGAGATGAGGTTTCACCATGTTAGCCAGGATGGTCTTTGTCTCTTGACCTTGTGATCCACCCACCTCGGCCTCCCAAAGTGCTGGGATTACAGGCGTGAGCCACCACACCCAGCCTAACTATTGTATTTTTAGTAGGGATGGGGTTTTGCCATGTTGGTCAGGCTTGTCTCGAACCCCTGGACTCAGGTGATCTGTCCACCTTGGCCTCCCAAAGTGTTGGGATTACAGGTATGAGCCACCATGCCTGGCCAAAGAACTGCTTCATTGTTAAGCAGGCACTCACTTCCCTTATTCAGGAGGTCATTTTTAAATTAATGCAAACTAGAACCCCTTACTTCTTTGGTAATGCCAGCCATCAAACAAATCTGGATGTCCTCTTCACACATGCTGTGGCTGAGCCATGCTGGCTCCCAGTGCTCAGGCCACTGGTTCCCTAGTCTCAGTTGGGGGACTTCCCATGTCCCCTGCCATGCCCAGCTTACCTGCCCAGATTGTCAAGTGCCTGTATGAACAGCACCTCAGAGGTGATCAGCCTATCTTTTATGCCTCATCCCCTACTTGCGCCCCCCACACACACATACACATTCAGAAGGGTTAAATCTGGTTAACTTACTCATCAGCTCCGTTTTGTGCCTACAAATGAGATTCAGATAGTATCAGATTTTTTGAGAATAGTGCATAGGTCACTAGAAGACATAAAAAAACCCAAAACATGTATTTCCCATGATGTATTTGAAAACTGAGAATTTCCTCTAGAAAAATGAAGGAATAAGCCAGGAATAGTTAAGATATGGGAAACAGGAAATTGTGGATCCAATCCAGGAGTAGGAAAGGGAGATTCTGGGATGACCAATGAACAACAGGCCTTAAGAACAACTGGTCCACATTGGATCAGCCGTGGAAGAGATGTCTCCAGAGAAAAAGAAGGCTTGATAGAAAACCTGACATAATGGCACATGGAGGGGAAGGGATAGACATATTTACTATATCTAATAAAAAATAAACATAAAATAATTTTAGGATTACTTAGATATCTGGTAGATAGGATAAGAAAAAAAGGTTTTTTAAGGCAATTAGAAATTCCAGAAAAACGGGTAGGGTATAGTAAGCTAACACCTGTAATTTCACTACTTCGGGAGACCAGGAGTTTGATACCAGCCTGGGCAAAACAGCAAGATGCCATCTCTAAAAAATTTTTGTTAATTAGCTGGGCATGGTGGTGCACACTTATAGTCCCAGCTATTCGGGAGGCTGTGGCGGGAGGATTGCGTGAGCCCAGGAGATTCAAGGTTGCAGTGAGCTATGAGCTATTACATTCCAGCCTGGGCAACAGAAAGATCCTGTGAAAGAAAAACAGAAAAGAGAAAAACAGAAGAAAAGCAAGGAAGAAGGAAGAAAGGGAGAAAGGGAGGGAGGGAGGGAGAGAGGGAGGGGAAGAGAGAGAGAGAAAGAGAGAGAGAGAGAGAGAGGGAGGGAGAGAGAGAGAGATCAATCCAGGGAAATGACAAAATATTCAAGGAAGGACATGCTATTTATAGTTCACTGCCTGACTATATAGTGAGGCATATTTACTCATTCCTAATCATTAAATCACCAAATGGTCATTTAACAAAAGTGATTTCACTGTAATGATGAATGTGTTTGAGGAACAAGGGAAGGTGGTTCAGGAAAACTAAATCAGCATCTACCACACAAAGAAGTCACCAGATGCTGTCTAAAGCAGATGGGTCAAGAAACTGTAGCAAAGCACACTGGCAAATATATGGCAGAAACTACAAGAAGAAGCCACTAAACTGAAAGTGGTTGCCTCTAGAGGGAATAACTTGGGATATGGACAGAGAAGTGACCAGTGTTAATTGTTTCACTAAACCTTTCAGTACTTAGTGATTTATAAAATTCATGTGCATGTAATGTTGATAAAAAAAAAAATTTTAGGGTTAGTTTTTTAAATACAGGGCTTGTTTACTCTGAAAATAACAGCATTTACTCACACATTTTAAATTTTCATTATAAGAACCAT